GAAGCATTTAGCCCACTTTAAAGTGTCATGCATGCACGCCCCTCGTTTTGTATACACATGGCCTATGTCTCTGATAGCTAAGGCAAATACCACTGAAAACTTTGAATGTCAGGACACAGACCTTGAATTTCACTCTGATAAGGAACCAATTCAGAAAATGGTGCTAGGCAGATTGAGCTGCTGCATTTTGTACCACTTTACACTTTTTTTTTAGGCTTGGTCTAATACCCAGCTGTAATGAGCTGCAGTCTTAGGCTAGGGACAGACATTAAAAAAGCTGGAGCCTGAACTTAATTTTTGTGGGTTAGTCTAACCTGCATAGATTGAACCAATTTGCAAGTGAACAGACATTTGCTTTTGACTCTGGAAATACAGTGGCTCAAGCCAGAAGCCGGGAGGCGCTAGAGCAGCCCTTGGCTGCAGGGCCTGGAGAGTGTGGCCCCTGCCGGCAGTAGCCTGGAGTGAACTGGCCAAGGAGAGGGTTTAATTCCCCCCTCCCTGTCCCACTGGAACGAACCCGAGCCAGGGTCTGTCTGGTGCTCCCCCCTCACTGCTGCAGTGGCAGGGGCAAGGACACAGCTAGAGGCTGGTTGGCACAGCCCCCTTAGGCAAATGGGGCAGAAAAGAGTTTATTTCCCCCCTCCCTCTGGCATCTGATGAAGGGGGCAGGGAGGGGGCTTATTCCGCCACTTGCCTCATGCAGGGAGCAATCAGCAGAGGCAGCAGTCGGGGCTAGCAGACCCCCGCTGCAGTCCCCTGGGGGCAGAGGAGAGAATATGCCTCCTCATTGCCCCCTTCACTTCAGGGGGGCCATGTCAGCCAGCACCTGCCCCTGCCCCTGCCCCTGCCCCTGCAGCAGTGAGTCTGGCTCTGGAGCAGAGGGACAGGGCTAGCCCATCCCTGCTCTGCGCAGCCCAGCGAAGGGCTGCAGAGCATGCTGGGATGCTAGGGGACTCTGGTTTAACTTAAACCAGGAAGGGGTCTGGGACAGACATTCATAATTTGAGTCTAATCAGTTCAGTCTGATACTACATTCAACCAGGTTTATCTCAAACTGGTTTCAGCCATTTTGAAACTGGTTTATGTGCAGTGAACTTATGGTCTGTTACAGGTTTAAACCAGTTCCTGCTCACTTAAACCAGTTTATGTGTAACTTCTGTCCCTAGCCTTAAGGTCACAAATAACCATGTTGCTGTGGTTAGCGCTGTCTCTGAGAGGAAGGGAACCATTCTTGTGGTCATTTACAGGTGGTAACAGGTATTTTTCACAGCACTAGCTCTCTGAACACCTTTAGGAATTGAGATGTGCAGGGGACTGTGCCCCGCAGGTTGTACACTGACCTTATAATCAAAGGGATTTGAGCAAAGGGAATACTATCGAAAACAGAAGTTCCTCAGAGCACTTTCCTCCTCTTGTGTGTGCCACTTCTGTCACTCCTGGGTTAAGTATTAGCCAGCTGCACTTCATCCAGGTATTGATCTGTGCTAAGTGTTAGTATTATAGGGAGAGGGTACTGCTTACATCTGATGTGAAGATGTAGAACGAGGCATTGTCTGCACATTGATGACATTTTTTCAGTTCATGGTATCAGGTCAGTTCCTCCAATGTCTTTGTAAAACCTTGTGAATATCCTTCATGTAGGACAGAGTTATGTTTCATATGGGATACAGCCTTATGGGACTCAGAAGGAGAACACTGCAGGTGCAGATGAATATCCCATTACATCTCTCTAGATAAGGCACAAGAGGAAAACTTTGAACCATATCCTTGGACATGTGAAGTTTCATGTTACCTGTTAGGATGATCAGTCTGACAATCAGTAAGGGTGACTTCTAAGTTTAACAATGATAAAAAATGAAAAATAATTTAGCAATAGTAAAGGATGTACTGTTAACAGCACTGAAGTCCCCAAACCCCTCTCCTCCAATCTGAATCACAGCCTTGTTCATAATGCAGATATGAAACAGAGAACATATCCCCATAATTTCTCTTTTTCCTGACGTTGCTGTATTATTAAAACATTATGTTCTTGGCTCTTATGATTGCAAGGAGAACCTTAAAATGTGAACTGAATGTTTCTGACACAGTCATTTCTGCCTGAGTCTGAAGATAGCCTGAGTATCAGAAGCATAACCTGGATGTAGGGTCTCAGGATTCAGGAGTAAAAGGTGCATACCTAGAAGTCCACAAGCTGTTGGTCAGGCCAGGAGGTCCAAGGCAGGAGGGTCCAAGGTGGGAACTAGGTACAGGGGGCCAAAGCAGGAGCAAGTCAGGAGGGCCCCAAGTAGCAAGGCCTACACCCCCTGGTGCTAAGATAAGCCCCCAGGAGAAGTAGGGGAATGATTTTATAGCCCTCCTATCAAGGGCTTGTGGTTTCTATTGGTTCCCCCAGGTCACTTGGTGCTGCGGCCCAGAAGTCGTCCTATGAAAATGGAAGATTCAGGTTTGAGTCCTTGGGGTCTTGACACTCTGGCAGTTTCCCTGAGAGGTGTGACCTGATCCTGTTAATCAGTGAAGACAAACGAAAAGGCCTGGACTGAAGGTGGAATAATCATATGGATAAATACAGACTGACAAACAATTAGCTAGACTGCAGTACTGCAGAAAAAGACCCTGGATTTACAGCAGACGATAATCTGAATATGAGTCAGCAGCATACTTTTGCCGCAAAGAAAAATAAATAGCGTAGTGGATTGTATTAACAGGACTGTCACTTATAAGTCAGACAGAGTGATTCTTCTGCTTTAGTGAGCCCTCATCTGGATAACTTTGTCCAGATTTGGCCACCATGCTTCAAGGAAGATATAGACAAAGTAGCAAATTGTCCATCAAGAATGATGGGGGGGCGGTGTGGATGGAGCCCAGCCTCCAGCCCTGCGCCTCTGCTCCCCACACCCTCATCCAGCCCTGCCCCCCTCCTTCAGGCGATACCTGTTTTATAGATGGGGAACTGAGGCCCAGATCCTCACTATTCAGCACCAAGCATGACTTACTCTTGGTGAATACATCCATGTTCCTCATCACCAGGGATCCTGGTTTTGTCTGATTTTTAAAAAATTGCCAATTTTTGGTTTAAAAAAAAAGGAACCCCACATTCACATTTTTCCATGATATAAATGAAACACTAATATAAAGAGATCTACATATTAGTGGTGTTTCATTTTAATCACAGAAAAATGTGGATTTGGGGTTACTTTTTTTCAACCAAAAATTGGGGATTTTTTTAAATCAGACAAAACCAGGATCCCTGTAGTGATCACCTTGTTCTCTTCTAGGTACTTTACAATAAATTCCTTGGTTTGAAGGCTCAACTCCCAGTGATTTCAGTGGTAGTTAAGAACCATGCACCTTTGAAGAGTTGAAACCTAGTGACTTGCCCATGGTCACATAGGCTGCTTGTAGATGTTAAAAAATAAAACAAAACAAACAAAATGGTGCTTTACTTTAAACTCAGCATGCTTCCGTGCCAAGCCCAACACGTGCCCAGACGAGGCAGCATGTTAGTTGGACCCAGCTCACCCAACATCTCTATAGATGAGACGCTGTAGTAGGGCTTTTTTGGTGTCTTCATCTAATAACTGATTGACTCAGCTATTAGGTTAAAGCACCTATAAGCCCTGCTGAAGCACCCAGTCTATAGACACCACAAAGCTGGGTTGAAGTAATGCACTGCTTATTCCAGTAAAGTGTGTTTTTTGGGCTTTTTTAAACATCTACAAGTAGCCATAGTGTATTTACGGTGGGGCAAGACATGAAACCAAGTCATACATAGCTGAGACTTCTTTTCTAACTGGTGGGAATTTATTTTTAGTTTTGTAACACTGACTACAAGGAAAGCATTCAAAGCTAATGGTGATTGTGGACATGTGACCCCTAGAAACTGAATTAGGTTAACCAGCTGTTTTCATACAGGTTGCTAAACAGTTACTTGGGAATAACTGCTTTTGATATGAACTGGATCACTTTTGGACTACAGCTCTATAAATGAAAGACTCAACACATTACCAATCCTCCTAAGCACCCAGGCCATTTATGTTAATGTATTTTAAGGATTAAAAATAGATGGGTAGAAAATATGGTCTCTGATATAATTGTGTGCCATTTAATTGATCAGACTAAAGAATGCATCTGAATAGTACGTGTTTGGGGAAGGAAAATGGTTCCTCTCCCAGGGGGACTCTGACCATGGGGAATGCCAACTGCTTTTCATTTCTTCTTCTACTCTCCAGCCATTGTTACCATTCTACTTTTGCAGGGGAAGAATGCATGTAGCTTTCTCCATGGGCTTGAGTGATGCAAAATTTAGCTGCTATGGTTCGCTGGAGTTCATGTTCTTTGATTTGTTTTTGAGTGCCCAGATTCCACTATCTGCTAGCTCCTGTCACCAGTTTTACTGGGTTTGAGGTCAAAACTAGGCAAACGCAACAAGTTTCTGTTGATTTCTACCTGTAACAAAATGAACAAAAAAAAAATTCAAATCTGACCAAAGTTTTGGCTTTGCAGACCAAAATGCACTGCATTTATCTTCAGAGAGCACCCTTCTTGACCACCATAAACCTTAATATGGTAACCTAGTGTTTTTTCTTTCTCTTGACTGAGATTAAACAGGAAATTGATCTGAAAATGTTTAGATTTTAAACATTTGGGGGCTGAAGCCAGAGCATTCCCAGCGAGGAGCTATCCAATTTACAGTTTTCTTTCCTGGTTGTATAGCAAGAGCTGGAATCTGTTGAACTTTATTCTGAATTGTTCTGGCTGTTGTTACACTACACCCATCACCACTTTATCTGAGTTGATAATGCAGGAACTGATTCTTCTTCCAGTTTTTGTCTGAGAAGAGGGATCTCAAGGGTCACTCAGCATTTCATTTGTTGGGGGTTTTTTGCACAGGGGGGCAAAGGGGAGAGTTCTTTTTAAAAGAGATTTTGTTTCTTTAACATTTGAATGTATTTTATAAAAAAAAAATAACATTTGGGGTATCTTTCCTTTTTGTCTTACAGATGGATCCAGCTTTGGAAGCAAAATTTGAAAAGAATACCACACTGGAATCTGAATATGAGGTTCTCTATGCTTTTTTTCTTACGATTCATAGCCTTGTCTTGACTACCCTGGCTTATGGTGGGGCATGTCTGCCCATAACTAAAATTAGATCAACCATCTGCCTTTGATTCCCTGTGCTTCGGTAAAACCAGAGTTTTGCGGAAAAGATTCTGAACATTCAGTGTTTCTCTCTAAACACAGTCCTGCTTTGATGTCCTGTTGCCAAGTACAGCCCTGCAAATGGAAGTTGGCTGTTTCTGTGACTGGTGTACAAAAGTAGAGTTAGTGCTGAACTTTGTGTGTGTGTGTATGTGAACATTTACACTATGAATGTTGCAGTGAGCTCCATGTGATAAATTGCAAAACCATGTTAGCTTCCTACTGAAACCACCCACTGATCCATCCATTACTACTGTGGCTTTCCAAGCCTCTGCAGCTTGCAGACAGCTCCTATTCCCTCTTCCCCTCCCTGAAAAACTACATAGAGGATTCTTGCCTCCCTTTCCCAAAATCCATTTCCTTCTAGAATTACACTACTTTGAATTGGGGGCCTCAGCCAGTGACAGGTTTAATGTCCAAAATTGCATAAATCTTGAGAACTGGAAATCAGTGTGTTGTTCCCTGCGAGAGGAAATACCCTATTCCCACACCTTTCCAGGGATAAAAGATATTAATTTTCAGGTCCAATCCTTTGCAAAATATCAGACCGTAACATTATGAAACTGATCTGTAGGAAAAGTATTTTAGACAATTTTTATAAGTTTTTTATCAAATGAATTAGATTCAGTTTTTAATTTACTCGACAATGGGCCTTTCTGTGCTCTGAAGGGAGGTGAAAGGGGAAAAGTTATTTGGGTCTCTTTTTCATCCTGATGTTATTTGCAAGTGAAATTTCTATTACATGTTAAAGATTTGATTGTGCCTGCAAGTCTACTACTTAGATGTTCAAATGACTGGACTTTAATATCAAATCACTACATGGTGAATTTTCTCTGTGATGATAATACCTGTTCTTTTATGCTTCTGATATATGAAATCTCACACAGAGGTTTTCCTATCCCAGGAAATATTAAATTAAAAAAAATGGAAATAAATTTAGGGCATCATGCTGCTAACAAATAACTTTTGTCCTGTGATGTTCAGTAGGAGAAAGCTTCATTCTCTGAGTATCAATGAAAAATCCCAGTTGGAAATTCATAATTTACAAGTGCGTTAATGCACAGTTCTGTTTGCCTTCTGGGAGCCTTTTGTCTTGTGCACTTCCATCTATGTATTGTAACTCTTCTCTGATTTATTTATGTGAAAGAACCACAGTGCAATGAAAAGAACAGTCTCTATCCTTTTAACACACAACCTCAAAACGAACTGTATGTGTTTTGATATGCTGCACTTTCTCCCTGCCAAGCTTAAGTAGATGGCTGAAGGACAATATTTAAACAGCCATAATTGCATTGACTTTTGTGAGGAAATCAATGGTAATAAAATAAAGGTGGCATAACGAAATGCTAAAAATGATTCCAGGTCATTCTTGTGAAGCTCATTGCTGATGGAAAGTAGTGGCTGAAACATTCCTAATTTTTGTTTTAATCTAAAATGTAGATGAGCCTCAAACCACAGAATCTGTCCCAAATCCAATTTTCTCCCAAAGTTCAAGTCATTCAGATCTCATACGTCATTTTGGTTGTTATGAAGAGAGGGCTATTTTTTTTAAGTGTGGATTGCCAATAGATATGTATGCCATCATAAATTAAGATGGATTCAGATCAGTTTGGGGTCTATCTTAGCAATGCAAGTATAGTATCATCATACAGATACATTACAAATATACACAGAAGTAAAACTTCAGTGTGGACCGTGACTCGCAAGGTGCCAGGCAACCTTGCTACTCACTGGGCATGTCTACACAAGCACATTTAATGCACGTTGGCCTGATTTAAGGCACATTAAGGGCAAATGCCTTAAAAATGGTGATTTAAGACTATTTGAGCCTAAATTTGATACCTACATAAAGTAGGTATCAAATTTATGCATGGATAGTTAAATTGCATTAGCGAATATGTAGATGCACTAATGCTCATGAACACAGTGTATGTTCATTGACTTGGGACTAACTTTAGTCCCAAGGTTAGCCCCAAGTCGGTCCGTACACCCACGTTAATGGATGCATGTCTAAATCGCCTTAATGCACATTAGACTAAAAGCACGTGTAGACATGCTCACTGTCCTGAAATTTTAGAGAATCCAGCAAGTCTATGGAATCCAGCAGCACCTTTGGTAAGCATTTTGTTTAATTATCTGGCCCAGCTGATAAAATTGTCTTTGATTCCTTGGTCATATCTCCTTTAGTAGAGTTGTTTCCATCTTCCTGGCTCCTGTTCCATTTTTTAAATACTATTCCTGTGTCAGTCTAAAATATGGCTAGTGTTGGAGTGATGTAGCTGCTATGGTCCAGGAAATATGAGAAGCAAGGATTTTTTTTGGTGATGGCTTTTATGGGACCAAATGTATAGTTAGTATGGTTGCTCCAGTAAAAAAAAATGTCACCCTAAAAAATCCTTTTCTCTAAATTATAGCTACTAAAAAATCTTGGAATTTTATATGTAGAGTTACATGGAGGATTATTAGAATGCCTGTTATTAAAGACAGTAACAGCAAAATGCCAAAAGCTATTAAAAGGTTGCTTATGTTACTAAGTAATGCCAGAGGTGAAGGACATGATTTTACAGTCTCACTCTTCTAATGGCATTATTTTACACAGTTGTCGCTGTGGAGTCCCATTTGAATTTGAGTATCTGATGTGTGCAAACCTTCCACTGATGTGAAGATTTTGATGATTCTTATTCTTGTGATAGAACTTTATATACCTAAGTCTTTAGAATCCTAAGACTTCCACTTAAAGTTTACCACTTCTTGGATCTCATCCTACAAGACAATGCAATGAGTGGGGGGGATGACATCTTTTATTGGGCCAGTTGTATAGTTGGAAGAGATATTAGATAAGTTTTCGGGCACAAAGTGCCAAGACAACAAACTCTTTCATATAATGTTACATAAGATCATGACTCAGTATGAAAATGTTGAGTAGAGAGATTATCAAGTTATGACAGAGGCATACCTAGGAATTTTGGCACTTCAGTTGAGGGTGCCAAGTGCTTACTTTTTAACACAGTGATGCAGCTGCCACAGTGGCAAGCTTTGCAAATATGGGCTGTTGTGGAGGCAGCGCCTGCTCTCAGGGCTGTCATTCTGGCACCCCATCTAACTTGACACCCTGGAGCTGGTACTCCACCCGCCCACCTCTAGTGATGCTGTTGAGGTATGATTTCATATGAATAGATTCATGCAAAGTCGATTTTTCCTTCCCCCTAACTTAGCTTAGTAAATGCTGTAGCCCTAAGCTGTGTAAGATTTAGTTTATTTCACAAAGGAACACTGTCGGTATTGACATTTTTTCAGACTGCTGCAATGGCCCCAATTTGTATGTGTAATTTATACCAAGATTCTAATCTCTCCTGTCTATCATTGGTTTCATTCATCCTGTGTTTTGAGACATGCCACAGGAGTGATCAGCCTTTACACTTTCCCCATTGTTTATGCATTCCTCAAACACGCTTACATGTTTTTATACACCCCGCCAGCTTTGTTGCTTCTATTTGTTTAATAAATCATCACTCTTTCCACAGCTGGCACTGGTACTAATGTGCGTGTAAATCCACTGCTCAGCTGGGCCATGTAGAACACATTGTAAAACCGACTATTTTGACCAAGGTCAAGGCAGAAGTCTGGAGCATTTTGTTTTACACGGGACATTAAAAAAACGAAGGAAGGAGCAGAATGATTTTCATGATTTGCATATTTTCCCTGTCAAATAATTTAATTTAAGCAGACAAAGACAGATTTCTTTATACTCATAATTTTCGTTTCTTCCGTATTATTCATGCTCAAGCAATCTGAAATGCCTCGGAAATTGAAAGGGCCAGTGCAAGGTTTAATTGTAGTTCAGTCTGAAATTGTTTAGCTGTTAAAGTTGCAAATAAACTGTAGGATTGCTACAGCTGAAAGAGATAGGAGGGAAAAATAGATTTTTTCAGAGTTTGTACTTTGTGCATTCAACAGTACTTTCTGTACCATCACTTTCATTGGTCCCTATGTGTATTCATTTAATTCTCTAAGAATAAAGCACATGTTAAATGAATTAAGAATGGACTACTCAACAAATCTCCACTAGTAGTTGTCAGCAGGGAATCATCATTACGTGGGAGCTGTCTCTAATGGTGTTTTGCAGGGATCAGTACTAAGCCAGACATTATTCTACATTGTCATCAGTGGTCTGGAAGTAGATGTAAAATCACTGTTGATAAAATTTGCAAATGTTGGCACAGTGGTAAATAATGAGGAGAACAGGTCAGGCATACAGAGCGATCTGGATCACTAGCTAAGCTAGGTCCATTAAACAAAATGGACTTTAGAACAACCAAGTGATGCAAAGTTATACTAGGAAGAAGGAATGTAGGTCATAGGACCCAGACCCTCATTCTGTGACTGGAAGGCTTTTACTTTGGAAAGGGTTTAGGGGGTATGGTGGACAAGCATCCCAACCTCAGCTCCCACTGCAAGGTGCAGTAAAAAGAGCCACTGTGATGCTCAGACATATAAACGTGGGGGTAATCAGTAGGAACAGGGAAGTGATTTTATGTCTGGTTCTGGCCCCAGTAAGATCAGTAGTGGAGTCTTGCCTCCGATTCAAGGGTTCACATGTTAATCTGGAAGCTGAAAAATTAGAAAGGGTGCAGGAAAAAGCCATAAAAGTGATTTGAGGGTTAAAGAAAATGCTTTACAATGAAAGACTAAAGGGGCTTGATTTGTTTAATTTACCACAAAAGAAGATTGAGAGATGGCTTGATTGGAGTGTGTAAGTAGTTTCACAGGGAGAAAATGCTAGATAGCAAAGGACTCTTTAATAGAGAAAGGTGTAACAGGAACCTGGATGCTAAAGGCAGACAAATTCAAATATGAAATT